GGGGGGCTCCTTATTAAAACTGTAATTAGTATAATGGCCCCGAAAAAACCCTATTCTAATTGTTAAGGCCTCGACACTAGGTTTTAGGGTTGAGGTGTTGGTCGGACATTCGTCAGGCAGTGTCAACCATCAGAGGTTCTAGGTTTTGCTAAACGTCACAAGGTCAGTACTTCCCAAGTTGTGCCTGAGCCTTGGATGGAGCAAGCTCGTGAGTTTGGAGTATTCAGCCACGGGAGCTGAAGAATCGCTGTGTGGCGGGCATGGGGGCGATCCTCCTTTGAAGATAGGCTTTAGGGCCTTTAGGGTTTAGGGTTTCTGTGCCGGTTCATGTGTGTTCTTTGCATTTACATGCACGTTGAGGCTGCAGTGAGCTTGTGGTATGAACTGTAGTGCTTTGCTTCTGCTGTTTTACTGTAGGGTTTATTGGAGTTTAGGCTGTAGGGGGCCTAGGCCCATGACTAAACCCTAAACCCTAAAGGGTTCCCGAATCCAAAAGCCTCGATCTGCTTATTCGCGAAGACCTCTATGCTCTGAGGGCCGGTGGAGGGTTCGGTTTCGTTAAGACTTATGGTTTAGGGGTTTAGGGTTTAGGGTTCAGTAGGCATAAGTTTCGGTTAGGAACTTTAGGATATGGGTTTGGGGTCTATGTTTTTTTTCTGAGGTTCTGAGGTTTGGGTTCAGGGTTTGGGGTCTAGAGTCTTGGAATTCGGGTTGAAGCGGTTTCGGGGGTCGGGGTCAAGGGTCGTTTTTTATCGAGGCTGGTTGAAAGGGTTTTCAGGCTTCGGGTCTCCGCAGTCTACGGTTTTCTGAATTTTAACCGGTTTGTTTGACCCAAAACCCTAAACCCCAGCTGCAGCTGCTTTTGGTTTGGGATCTAGGGTGTTGGGTTTAGGAAGGAAAATTAGGGCCGTGTCCTGAGCCATGGGTCGGGTTTGGGGTTTGAGGACCCTGTTCAGTCCCAGCTTGCTGTAAGGCTCAAAAACTGGGCCCTAAGATTTGGGGAAAGTTCCATATTTAGGGTTATAGAGGTTTAGGGGTTTGGGTTTTTTGAGGGTTTAGGATTTTTGGGTTACTTAGGGTTATGAGGGTTTTCATCCCCTAAACCACCCTAAACCCCATACACCCGCCAAGCTCTGAGTTTCGGGGTTGAGGAGGGGGCAATTCGGATTTAGGGTTCACGGTTCAGGTGTTCAGGGCTTCGGGTTTAGGG